GCCTTGCTTCACTCAGGCGTCGCCTTTTTATCGCCTCTCGCCTTAAGGCGATCTAAGGGCTTGTCGCCTTGAGGTGCGCCTTGCGCCTCGAAAACACTGTTTATAAGCTAAGATCCAATCGTACCCATATTTTTTACTCACGATTATCCTACGCCACAAGGCATTAGGTTATTGAGAAAGTGTCATGACCATTTAGCCAACAAGGCCTCCTTCCTGAGACTCATCCAATGGTTTTGAAACGATATCCCAAGTAATCAAATGAAATCCTCCCCCCTCATCCACCCCCTCCCACAAAAAATCCCTCACGATTTTCTCAAGACTTTTGTAAATAGATATCTGTATTTTAAGCAGGGACATGAAGTAAATCAGGATCCCTCTTATTCACTTCTATTTTGATGTTTTACTTACGTTGAAAGAGCAGCAAGTGCCAACTGCTCTGTTGTAAAAGCAAAAAGGGTATTTGTTCCATATGCTTTGAAATTGAAGAGGTGTTGAGCATTTAGTATTATCTTTACTAGCCTGTTTTCAAATTTTAGTATGCAATGTGCTCTTCTTTTAATAATTGTTCTTTTTCTACTTTTTCCTCAACTAGGCATCTTTGGACAAAGGAAAGACTTCTGGGAATGAGGTCTTAAGTGCTCAACATGCTGAAGACCTTAGGATGAAAGAAAAGAGGAAGCGCGAGTGTGAGGTACCCTAACATTGCTTGAATTAGAACGTTCTTTCAATGTTTTAAATTTATTAAGTTTAAAAGGAATAACCCTTCGTGTACTTTGAGCAGAAAAATTTGCCCAGGAAGAAGCGCAGGAGATTGGAAGCAGCTAGAGAAATGTTGGAGGAGGAGAAGCAAAATGACAAAACAGGAGTATGATTGACTACTCACTTCATGTTTTACCCATTGTCACATTAAATTAACCAATCTATCTTATATTATTAAGCAATGAAGTAAAAAGATACAAGGCATGCTCATTTGGATTTTGAATGACATTAGATGGGGATGTCAAAACTTCTAAATACATCAAATAGTGTACCTAATCTACTAGGTCATTTTCAACTTTGTCCATCCATAAGAAAGTAAGTTAAGATTTATTTATAGAAAGTTGATATGCCATTAAATTATTGTTCTATCACATATTTGGACTAGTGGGCATGCCACCAAAAACTGATTTTTTTTTCATGGGCGGGTTAGGTGTCATGTCAAAGGGCAATTGAATGGCATGCACCCGTTAATAATGAACTTTTTGTAACAAATTGTGATAGTTTTTAGGCTTTACTGAGCATTTTAATACATTATGTGTAAATATTGGTAAATTTGAGTGTTTGAAAGTTTAAGGACCAAATTGAGAATTATATAAAATATCAAGACTATTTGGCATGTTTAGCCAAGATCAAAATCCTGTGAGTTGGAAAGTAAACTTTAGATCTACTCTTCATTTTCCTCATCTATTTTTGTAAACTTTGTGGTTTGTCACATAATTGTAATAACTGCAGGGTGGAGGAGAAAATAAGAAAGATAAAGCTGGATTGTCACTTGTCAAACTTGCCTACCGTCGGGCAAAAGCAGTGAAGGCTGTGAAAAAGGCACTTGACTCGGGCAAGATTGTGAAGAATCAAAACCAAAAAACCAAACACTCTTCCCATAAAACTGAATCAAGATCTGAAGAAATGCGAGAGATGTTCCAAAATGACATGAGCGAGCAGAAGCAGAAACGGCGTGGCGGTGGCGGAAAGAAAAAGTCTAAGCATTCCTTCAAAAGCAAGTCAAGGTACAAAGCAAAAACACTTTTCTACCTACACTTTGGAGGAATTACTAATTTAGATGTGTTTAGTATAGAACTAGAGCTAATTTTAGATACGTTTAGTATAGAACAAGAACTACTTTTTAGAAGATCTACAGTATTTGGTGATAAGTAAAAAATATTTTAAAAAAATCGAATTGCTCTAAAAACTCTTTTTGAAGAAACATTTATGAGATGGTTATCCAAAAAGTAACTAAAGTGAGCGCTTTTGCAGTTTAAGCACTTAAGACATAATTTCTATGTAACAAAAGATGTTAAAAGTGAAAGATGTGCCAAACTCACCCTATGTTATAACGGCATTTACATTACTAGTCGTTGCTTGGACTACAAATGCAATTTATTATAGCTGATAACATGGTTTGATCCTCTAGCTTTATTCTCCTAGCATTATTGTATCGATGCTTTTGAATGTGTTTTTCCAGGTACAAGCGTAAATAGAAACTTCATCGGCAGTCGAGTGGCCTTGTGTTTGCTCGGGAGAGTGGAGGCAACACTCAGTTTGCAATCTGCATTCCCTACACCAGTTTTGATGACAAGATTAAGATGGATTCTCGACTCCAAAATTTTGGTTGGCTGTATCGTTTTTATCCTCAAAGTTCATTCATTACTCTCAGTTGAGTTGTGATGTGCTTTGAGAATCAAAATGTACCATGAAACTTAAAAGCAAACCCTACTAACATAATTTTTTTTAGAATGTACCATCTCCAAAATAACTAGAATGAGTATTAGTTTTCATAATTTTATGGTATCTTAGTTGAAGTTCAGCATTCGGATAGTGTGAATTATATCTATGCAAAAAAAAAAAAAATGTAGTCATATGATGTATTATTGATATTTTTGTCCTCTTTTTGAATTGGATGTGTAAAAGAAATTATTTGGTCGAAGACTCGAAGTCCAATCTTGAGTTTAAGTGAGCATTAATAGTGTCCATATAGATGTAATTATACATTATTTGTGGAGGATTGAATTGGCACTGATCGCTCGAACGAGTACTGACCTCGAGTATAATGCCTCTTTTTATAGATGGTCAGAAACTACTCTACATTTGTAATCTACCTCATATTTGTTATGTGAAATATTTTAAACTTGCATTCTCCTTAGAAATGAGAAAAATTGGTGTTTTGATATAACCATTGTTGTTGTTGAGTTCTTTGAAACTAGAAGATATTAATTAATATAAAATCTTAATAGCTTATTCAATGTTTTTATTTTTATATATTTTTGATACAAGTCTTTTCAAATTGAAAAGGTATAAATTATCTAACAAAAAGAGGAACCATAAAATGTTAGATAACCAAATGAAAAAAAAAAAGAGAAAAGATAACTTACCTTTATCAACAAATTAATAATTTTTAAATTTAACTAATTCCAACAAATCAACCATTTGGCTTGCGTGAGCACAGTAGTCAAGGAATTATTGGCTAGGGAGCTGGCGATGATTCAAAACTCAAGTAATTTTCTTGATAAACCGACATTTATATTGCTGATGTAGGAGGATTGATTTGGGAAGTAAGAAGCTCATTTGACATTTCCCCAACTTCTTACCGTAAACAGAAAGTTCGAATCTCTCCCCCTTCGTGTAGGGGTTTGTTTTATTGTTGTTTAGAATTAGTTAGGTTATTAGTTACTTATCCATTATTGTAATTAAAGACCACTGGCTCATAAGCCTAGCTTTGATCTAGTGGTTTATTAGGTATTTAGATGTTAGGTTCTCTTTGTAATTTAGATTGGGAAATTTAAGTAAGTGGCTAAATTATGCCACCCACTTTAGTGTCAATTTTTTTTTTTTATAATTTTGCAAAAGGGGCTAAAAGATATATTTGAAATTTTACATTTTTTTTTGTTTTTTCCCCGCAATGCTCTACCTATGTTTTTTTGGAATTTACAAGTATTTAACCACCCAACAAACTTGCTTTTCAATTCAAATGTTGTTTCTTACCCATTTGAAACAACCTAACATAGATTTGTTTTAAGGTGATCTTCCATATCTTTCTCCCCTGCAACAACCAATTGAACAAACAATTGTATCTTACAAGCTCTTCGCTACAACGATGGATTAAGTCTCATCCTTTCGAGCTCTCCTCTCGACAATAGTGAATTCTATACTAATCACATTTCTATATGATGGTAGTTGAGACCAAAACAAATCACTTAAACCAGAAATCTGTTTTAGTATCTGTAGTTTCCTACACATTAGACTTTGTCATAATTGCAAAAGCGGCATGGTATCTATTACCCTTGGCTTGTGCATAGATTGATGTTCGTCTTATTCAATTTTCTTTAGGTTTGTTTTTCTGTTAGTCTTATTCAATTTTCTTTAGGTTTGTTTTTCTGTTAGTCTTATTCAATTTTCTTCCTATTTGCTTCTCTTTCTCCCATTCCTATACTGGTTGGAGTTTACAACTTAGCCCATAAAATATCTTTTCCCCTCAAGTTCTTTATTATAGGTCACGATTGTGCTCACAAATCATAGGAACAAGTTAGTTGTGAAAGAAATTATAGGTATTGCCTTTGTAGATACCAACATTTATCCAAAGATGAAAATGAAGATATTGATGATATTGACCTCAAAATGGAACTGCGACACCACCCAATGCAAACTACTGTAGATATCGACATTGACCCCATAAATGGAAGTGCAGACTACTATATAGATACTAACATTTACCCAATAAATGGAAGTGCGACTCTAGTGTAGACCACAATTTAAAGTGTGACACACACCACTGTAAATATTGACATTGATATCATAAATGAAGTGTAGACCACAACTTACCATCAACTCACTAGTAATTATATGTGTATCTATTGATAATACAGTGTGCAGATGTTACTAAAGCGATTACCATTTGCCAATAATGAATTCTATACTAATCACATTTCTATACTATGGTAATTGAGACAAAAAACAAATCACTCAGACCACGACTTTTAAGGTGTTTGAGATCAATGATGTGAAGCATGCAAATCTATTTTAGTATCTGTAGTTTCCTACACATCTACTACCCTTGGCTTGGGCATGCACTCAGGTTAGTCTTATTCAATTTTCTTTCTGTTTGCTTTTCTCTTAGTCTTATTTACTTTTATTCCTGTTTGCTTCTCTCTCCCCTTCCCATTCTTGTTGGAGTTTGCAACTCATCCCTCGAAGTCACTTCCCCTTATTTTCCCCTTATGTTGTTTATTATAGGTCACGATTGTGCTCACAAATCAATCATAGGAACAACATCTAGTTGTGGACATTATAGGTATTGCTTTTGTAGATACCAAAATTTATCCCAAAATGAAAATGCAAACTAGTACAGTGATGAGATGTGAATCCCGAAGCGGAAGCGGATCATCGTTCATGATTTTTTGAGAGAAAACAAAAACAAAAGTGTGAAGAAGAAAATACAGGGGAAACTTACATTTGAAGAACTTTTCTTCAACGATTTCCACTCGAACACCACCAAACGATATTCCGTGCTATCCTCTTGGGTCTCGAGATCGCACTTGTGGGAGCGTTTCTTTGGAACGAGAGGGAGAGTTTGAAAGAGAGAGCTTGAGAGAGATTTGGGAATTCTACCACTTTGTTATCTGTGTCCTGTATCTTTATTTTGCACAACTGCAAAAAAGAACAATAATAAAGACAGTACCCCACACTTAATTGCCCACTCCCGTGCAATTTTGTAGGGGAGTTAAATATTAATATATATATTAAATAAATAATTAACACTTAATTATTTATTACAAAAATAGAATCATATTCTATAGAATTTCTCTTGTATAACCTATAGTCGTAATGTACATCTTATGCACATTATTTCTAACCTGTAGTTTTTATATGAATCTTATTCATATTAATTTTATTTGAATCACATTCATAGTTTTAATTTAGAATTAACTATATATTATAATGTATCAATATACATATATTCCCTTGAGTAATTTGAACATTTCAAATTCTTTCAAAAACTTGATCCTCGTTTTACCCGTTATGAGCTAGCAAGGGAACCTAATAAACCTACAGATCAGAAGCTCCAACAATACGAGATTAATCGGTCAAACTCATTGACCGAATTAATCAACGTTCGTTAACTACGGGTCACTCCATTAAAGACCGTAGTTGCACTCTTTTCACTGCAGAATGTTTTCGTGTCCACGGATATACGACCATTAATAACAAGTCAATCCTTCACGAGTGCTCGTAACTCAACTTGGGTCAAATTACCGTTTTACCCCTGAGTTACATCTTACTCCTTAAATACCATTGCTCCTCTAATGAACAACTCGGTTATGGTCCGACCAATAACTGGAAGTCCCTCTCGGGCCAATGAGAAGGTGGGGGCCCTTGTTCAAGTCTCGGAGTCAGCATTTAAGAGAACACTCATCTACTCCCATAAAGTAGGGAAGAAGTGAATTCCATCTTGTGAAGTTATGTTCCTAGCTCCCCACTCGGTCTCGTCCCCAAAATGGTAGGAATATTGAGTCGGCAACTCGGGCCACTCTCACCCATATAGATTAAAGGACTAGCCCTCACGGGCAGGAGTCCATAACTCACTCAGGATTGAAAATGAGTTGTTTGGTCATCCTATGAAATAGCAATCTGTTAGTCAACGGCGTTACATCTAAAGATTGGCTATTTCGCAGCCTGGTCTTATACAAACTCATTGTATAGGATACCCACACTCGCATATCTCCACATGAACGACCTGGATCCAGTCGTCTGTAACATTTACAAAGTGGGTCGTATCCATAGTGTTTGCCAGGATAAGGTACCCAGCCTTATCTATATACTATAAACCCTTTAGGTTATTCACGGGACATTATCCACTCGTATATCAGGGGTATATCAAGTATATACCTCGTATATCTGGGGTATATCAAATATATACCTAATAGATCAAATATATACCCAGTATATATACTATCCCCGTTACATGATAATAACCTTGGATGTTTAGTTTATTGGATTTTGGACAATGCAATGCTATGAATTCAACAACAAATTGATTGAATAAAACTTTATTGAATATACATTTGGTTTTTACATCAAACTACAAGATTCCACTGTAGATATTGACATTAACCTCGAAATGGAAGTGCGACACCCAATGCAGACCACTATAGATCCCGACATTGACCCCAGAAATGGAAATACAGATTATTATAGATACTGACATTGACCCCACCCCAGAAATGGAAGTGTAGACTAGTATGTATAGACCGACCGATTAAATATATCTACCCCTCCCACCTAGAAATTTAAAATTTTAGATTTTAGATTTTAACTTAGAAATTTATAAATTTTAAACGTTAGTCAAATTTTGAATAAATTTTTATTTATCTACTTTCAAAATATACTTTCAATCTTTAAATTAGATTTTAGTTGTTTAAATTTGATTATTTAAAATTGATTCGTATAATTAGTGTTGGGTGTGTTGCCCTAAACCTTTGTATTTATGTAAAAACAAATATATATTCAATAAAGTTTTATTCAATCAATTTGTTGTTGAATTCATAGCATTGCATTGTTCAAAATCCAATAAACTAAACATCTAAGGTTATTATCATGTAACCGGTGATGAGATGTGAATCCCGGAGCGGAAGCGGATCTTTGTTCATGAATTTTGAGAAACAAAATCAAAGGTGCAAAGATGAAAACACAGGGGAAAGAACATTTTTTTACCTTTGAAGAACTGTTCTTCAAGTTAATCACCACCTGAATACCACCAAAAGAGTCTTCCGTGCTATCTTCTTGGGTCTCAAGATTCCACTTTTGGGAGCATTCAATTTTGGAACTTGAGGGAGAGTCGAGAGAGATTGAGAGAGTGAGAAATGCTTGGGAGTTCTGTGTGTTCACACCCTATTTTGCAAAACTGCAAAACCAAATAACAAAAACAGTGACGTTAGGAGTTACCCCACGTCACTTAACTCTCCACTCCCGTGAAATTTTGCAGGGGAGTTAAATATTAATTATCTATTTAATTTATATATTAATATTATTAATTAATAATAATAATTAA